TTGTTTCTAGTTCTCCTATACCATTGAGTAGTCTCTCCCTTCTCTTTAAATGGTTATTCTCTTTCAGTGAGTAAACTTGAATTTCGAAGGTTCTGGGGTCTAAGTCACTGTCTAATTGCACACAACTTCACTGCTTTGTTAGCGCAACCACCAGCTAATGGCAGCCCTGCCTGGCACAGGAGGTTCCAAGATCCCGCCAAGGGGCTGGCTGAGGAAGGCATGATCAACAATAAGGAAAGCAGGGAATATTTTGAAGCAAAAGAAACAAGAATTGCCAGTTATTTTAGATTCAGAAAGTTAAGGAATGAGTTATGCCTTAGATATGTTATTAAGAATAAAATGCTCACTAACGATCTCCTCTGGGGTGTCCCCAACCACGTCAAACTCAGCATGTCTGAAACCAAACCCATGATCTTTTCCCACCAAATTATGATTTTTCTCCTAGGCAGTTCTGTGCAATGAATGAATAGTCCTGCTGTCCATCCAGTTTCCTGAGCTTGAAACCTGGAAGGGGGTCATTGGTGACCCCTCCTTCCCACCTGTCCCACCTGCCATCAGTTCTGGAGCCATCTCCTTGGGCTTGTTCCACAACTCACAATTTCATTCCCTTTCACTTCCCATTGATGGTCAGGCCATCATCATGGCTCCCTCACCTGCACATCCTCTTACCTGGTCTCTCGGCTCCAGGACTGCACACCCCCAGCCCATTTTCTAATCAGAGCTGCTCACCAGGTCTGCCATGAGGGACTTACAGGTGAGCCAAGATGACCAGCCTCTCAGTCCCCAACGTGGCCAGGAAGAGCCCCCTGCATTCAGCCCAGTGTGTTGCACAAATACCCCTTGTCTGTATGCGTCTCGAAGTGAGAAGACTTGGAAGCACTCGGCTACACAGTGAACAATGTCTATTCCAAAACTGCTGGAAGGTCAGATCTGGGCTTCAGTCCAGCTCAAACCTGGGCGATGTAGTTTACAAAGTGTGTCTAGTGACTGGGCTCTAATTGTGTTCATGCATTTAGGGGACCCACAAGATGTATTGAAGACCTGAACCAGGGTCATAATGATGGGAGCAAAAGGGAGTCAAGAGATATTTTGCAAGTAGAATTAACCTGGAGAAGGAGGTGTCAATGAGGGCTCTGAGATTTCAAGAATCAATTTCTGGGAAGATGAGGATGACATATAAAAAGATTGGGCACGAAAGAGAAAGTGGCATTTGGGGATGAGTTTGGGACTAGGGGCTGGCCTTCAAAAACTGAGTTTGTAGACTGTGGCTTTTAAAATTCGTGATGTGCATTTCTCTAATGATTAGTGATGCTGAGCATCCTTTCATGTGTTTGTTGGCAATCTGTATATCTTCACTGGAGAAATGTCTATTTAGGTCTTCTGCCCATTTTTGGATTTGGTTGTTTGTTTTTTGATATTGAGCTGCATGAGCTGCTTGTATATTTTGGAGATTAGTGCTTTGTCAGTTATGTCATTTGCAAATATTTTCTCCCATTCTCAGGGTTGTCTTTTGGTCTTGTTTATGGTTTCCTTTGCTGTGCAAAGGCTTTTAAGTTTCATTAGGTCCCATTTGTTTATTTTTGTTTTTATTTCCATTTCTCTAGGAGGTGGGTCAAAAAGGATCTTGCTATGATTTATGTCATAGAGTGTTCTGCCTATGTTTTCCTCTAAGGGTTTTATAGTGTCTGGCCTTACATTTAGGTCTTTAATCCATTTTGAATTTATTTTTGTATATGGTGTCGGGGAGTGTTCTAATTTCATTCTTTTACATGTAGCTGTCCAGCACCACTTATTGAAGAGGATGTCTTTTCTCCATTGTATATTCTTGCCTCCTTTATCAAAGATAAGGTAACCGTATATGCGTCGGTTTATCTCTGGGCTTTCTATCCTGTTCCATTGATCTATATTTCTGTTTTTGTGCCAGTACCATACTGTCTTGGTTACTGTAGCTTTGTAGTATAGTCTGAATGAGGTATCACCACACACCAGTCAGAATGGTCATCATCAAAAAATCTACAAACAATAAATACTGGAGAGGGTGTGGAGAAAAGGGAACCCTCTTGCACTCTTTGTGGGAATTTAAATTGATACAGCCACTATGGAGAACAATATGGAGGTTCCTTAAAAAACTAAAGATAGAACTACCATATGACCCAGCAATACCACTGCTGGGCATATACCCTGAGAAAACCATAATTCAAAAAGAGCCATGTACCACAGTGTTCCCTGCAACACTATTTACAATAGCCAGAACATGGAACAACCTAAGTGTCCATCGACAGATGAATGGATAAAGAAGATGTGGCACATATATACAATGGAATATTACTCAGCCATAAAAAGAAATGAAACTGAGTTATTTGTAGTGAGGTGGATAGATCTAGAGTATGTACTTCACAGAGTGAAGTAAGTCAGAACGTGAAAAACAAATGCTGTATGCTAACACATATATATGGAATCTAAAAAATAAAAAAAGGTTCTAACAAACCTAGGGGCAGGACAGGAATAAAGATGCAGACATAGAGAATGAACTTGAGGACACGGAGAGGGGGAAGGGTAAGCTGGGATGAAGTGAGAGAGTGGCATTGACATATATACACTACCAAATATAAAATAGATAGCTAGTGGGAAGCAGCTGCATAGCACAGGGAGATCAGCTCGGTGTTTTGTGACCACCTAGAGGGGTGGGGTAGGGAGGGTGGGAGGGAGATGCAAGAGGGAGGGGATTTTGGGATATATGTATACACATAGCTGATTCACTTTGTTATACAGCATAAACTAATACAACACGGTAAAGCAATTATACTCCAGTAAAGATGTTAAAAAAATAAATAAATACAAAATATAAATTAAAATTTGTGATGGACATTCATGTGGAAATATCTAGCAAAGCAACTGAAATTCAAGTGTAGAACTCAGGAAAGAGAGCAAAATGGAAAAGATGGATGTGACCTATAAAAAGATGAGGTGAGTGCTGAGCCTCCAAGAGAGGGCTGAGCACAGGGCACCAGGAAAACCCTGTCTTAGAGGGTGGATGGAGGACAGGGTCCAGGAAAGGAGAGTAACAAGTCACAGTCAGAGATGTAGGAAGAGCTCTGGGAGAACAAAGTGCTGTGGAAGCTGAGAGTTTCAAAAACAAAAAGATCAACAGCACAAAATGTTGTAGGTGGTACAAGTAGGGTGAGGACCAAGAAGAAACCATGGAATGTGGCAATTAGAGGTCACAGTTGAACTTCTAAAGAACAATTGCTATAGTTGATGGTGATGGCAGTTGTGCCAGTTCAGGTTTTCCAAGAAGCAGATGCCAAAACAGATTAGACATGCAAGGGATTTGGTGGTGGGGATGGGGGTGGGGGGATTCTTGTAAAGAATAAAGATAAAAAGAGGGAGCAGTATTACTGAACTCACGTTCAGCCACTTATTGCTCAATAATCAAACACTGAGAAACAGATGTTGGGTAAAAGGAGAGATAGCTTTATTGAGGAAGCTGGCAGTCCTGGGGAGAAGGTGGACTCATGTCCCAAAGAACCAACTCCCCATTCTCAGGCTTTGTTCAGAAATTTTATAGGGAAAAGAAAAAGGGGCTACGTGCTGAGGAGAGGATTGTGGGGGTCATGATCAGCTTTCAGACATTCTTCTGTTAGGTTGGTGGTGAGGTAATTGGGAGTCAACATCATCAACCTTCTGGTTCCAACCAGTCTGGGTAGGCAGCATGCAGTTAACTCCTTCCAACTGGTGGGGTTTCAGTATCTACAGAACAGCTCAAAGGATGTGGCTCAGAATGTTCTCTATAGACCTTGAGGAGGAACTAAAGATCCATGACTTTGTTTAATGACTAAACTATTGTTATTTTGTCTTCCTTGACTATTGTCCTTTGTTTCTGCATCTTCTTATTTCTCTGATTAAATTTATTCTTTGGAACTTGGGGAGGGCCTAGTAGGCTAAAGTTTTTCTGCAAACAAGAAGCAGGTGGAGGACATGGCTGGTGTCTGTTCCAGAAAGTCCCCACAGGGTCCTGCTCCATTACAGCAGAAGCAGGCAAGGAGGGCCCACAGACCAAGACACAGGTGTGAATCCTGTGACAGGAGGAAGGGAAGGAAGGGGTGGGCAGGAAGACACTCGGCTGTAGTGCACTGCTGAAGACACTGCAGCCAGGCGATGGGGAAGCCCTGAGCAAACCCCTCATTGAGAAATCCCACATCAGGTGGGGTTTGTCATCAGGGGAACCTGTCGTGTCAAGCAGTGCTGGGAGCAGCCCAGAGGACAGGTGGCCTCCACATTGGGGCGGGGGGCAGGGCAGCTGGATTCTGTCCACTAACCTCTCTCCCCGCAGTGGGTTCTCTTGAAGAGGGTGCATTTCCCTGGCATCATAGAAGCCAAATGAGTGATCCTGAGAAAGAAGTAGAAACCCTGATACTCAGTCTAAGCCGTTCCTCTTTGTCTACATGGCACTGACCGAAAGAGACACAAGCAGTTTAGCAGGCAGGCAAAGCCTGGTAAGGATTCAACCAAAAGCAATCACAGAAACCGGTAACTAAGTGGCGGCCAAGGTCACACAGTTCCGTGGAAGGGCTGAGACTTCATCATTCTTTGCTCTGCCTCCCTGTCTCCCTCCTCAAGCCCTGCACTCTCCCGACCACTGTCCACTGCATCCAGGGTTCAGCCCATCACCGTTTATACCCCGCATGTGCGGTTACCTCTGGTGTTTCCCGTGGTGGGGTTTCCAAGGATCTTGTTACCTCTATTTCTCTGGTGAAAGTATGACATTTAAGAGCTTAAGTGAACAAGCGATAGGAAAGCCAGCTCTCCCTGTGCCTGGTGGAGGAGGCCTGAGGAGGATGCCTTTGCAGGGGCTCTGACCAGGGGTCTCGGGAAGCATGCCCAGGTGTGGGGACATTCCCACCTATAATACTCCGAGTGGCCCATCGCGTGGGCACAGGACCAGCCAGCACCTGCTGACCAAGTGAAGAGCCCACCTAACCCTCTGTGTTTCCTTCCAGGTGACCTCATCCACTTGCCTCCATACCTTCGAATGGACTTCTTGTTGAATCGAAGTGGTCCAGGCGCCAGCAGGGACCCAAGTTTAGGGCAGGCATGCTTGGAGCCCCAGAAAAGTCGGACCCTGAAACGCCCCCCAGTCCTCGAGCCCATCCCCATGGAGGCTGCCTCCTCCACGGCCTCCACGAGGGACGGACAGCAGTGGCAGCAGGGGGCCGTGGCCACATTACCTCAGCGGGAGGGGGTGGAGCTGGGACAGGCAGCCAAGATGAGCAGCTCCCAGGAATCCCTGCTGGACTCTCGGGGCCATTTGAAAGGCAGCAATCCCTACACCAAGTCCTACACCCTGGTATAACCAACGGCATGACTGGACAGCGGTTGTAAATACGGTTTAAAAAATTCAATCAAAGCTACCTTTTTTTTACAGAATTCCAATATTTATAATGAAAGAAAATTGCCAAAATATATTAAAAAAAAAAAAAGAGAGAGAGAGAGAGAGAAAATACTGAAAAAAACCACAGACAGTGCAAAGACTCTCCTGCTTTTTTTCTGTCTGAGTGTGAGCTCCATCTGCCTGGGCATCTGATTTTTTGGGAAAGAAGTCCAGTTTTATGATCTTCACGGGCTATTGCATTTTTACTGATTTTCTACAATGTGCATGGGGGACACATTCAACCTTCTGACTGGAAGTTCTATCACACAAGATTCAAGAAAGAAAACAGGAAAAAAAAATTACCTTCTTTGTGAATTTAAAAGGAACCTTGATTTGGGGGCCGGGGGAAACGTTAGTCATGTTTGCACACCTTTCTTTCCCATTAGAAATCGGGTCCTTGATTTGACCTCCTTCTGTTGTTACTTAGGATGAGTGCCGTCAGTGGAGGGGTGGGGGGAATCAATTTGGTTTTCTTTTTTGTTTATTTTTTAATTTAATGAGACACTCTTTGCATTTTGTCTAAGTGAAATAAAAAAGAAAAGGTGGTCTGCCTTTATTTCGATGTCTACTTCTCTTGTCTCCTATTGATTGCTGGGTCCTCCTTCCTAGGGATGCTTGTGTTTGCAAACACCAGGGCTGAATCAAGGCCCCAAGTTAATAAACCAGAGAGGATTCTGAGAGTCTGACCTCCCCAGGATAGAGGGGAAGGACACAGAAGATGCAGCAGGTCTGAGTTTTAATGAGGGGCTGGCCAGGTGTTCTAAGCCCCTTCATATGCTCTGCTCTTTGCCTCCCAATGACACCTGGCCCTCTAGCTGGACCAGGGGTCAGAAAATTATGACCCACAGGACAAAATCAGCCCACTGCTGTATTTATCTATAAAGTTTTATTGGAGCACAGCCATGCACACCATGTGCATTTAGTCCATGGCCATTTCATGCCATGATGGCAGAGTTGAGTAGTTACAACAGAGGTGGTATGGCCAGCAAAGCTGGAACTATTCACCATCTGGCTCTTTCCAGAAAAAGTTTGCAGACCGCTACTCTAGAGTCCCACCGTCAGCCGCAGCTCACTGGAGGCAGGAAGATTGGACCGGGAGAAGTTCATCCTGTCCTCAGGGACCTGTCCTGCCACCACCATAACCAGTATCTAAATGTGCAGTAGACCATCTTAGTGTCTGTTCCTTTGACTCACTCCTCTGCACCCAGAGAAAACGAGTCAAGGGTAAGTGATGTTCCTCTGAAATCTAACTTTCTTTTTCTTCCTCTCAGTTTAAATTATTTTCTATGTGGCTCATCCTAACAGAGCACTTATTCTTAAATAGTATGAATTGTGTTCTCCTTCCCGTGACCCTTACATAGTACACCTTAGAAAGACCCCCCCCCAACTCCCCATTCCAGCCTCTCTTAGGTCTCATGTCAGAGGTTTGGCATTGACCAGAAAACTTGGTCGAATGCCCGGAGCCGCTCAGTTGCCAAGGTAGCAGATTGTACAAATACGTCCACTCCCTTAATACTCTCTACAGGCTCCCCTTTAAGCCACCAGCCTAGGCTGGTGTCAGCCATTGCCATCTGAGAACATGTTCAGAAATTTCTTTCCTGTTCTGCCTCCTTCTGTCCTTCTGCCCCTCCCTCTTTCCTTCCTTCTCTCCTTCCTTCGCTCCTTCCCTTCTTCCCTCCATCTTTTCCATCATTCCTTCCTTCCATTTACTTTCCAGGCAAGCCCATTTTCCTACTTAGATTCAGTGATACTGAGCATCTGCAGAGCAGATCCAGGACCACATCAGGACCGCCTGCTGGCCCTGACATTAGGTGACTTCCTGGACGCAAAATGGTTGTTTCTTGCCGTGGTTTCAAACTTTAACCCATGTTGACAGCTTATTGTTTGCATCTTCACAGACTCTCACAGATTGCTTTTTTTTTAATTCAAAGAAATGAAATGCTACTTTCTGGGAAAAAATAAAATTAAAGCTCTATTGTTCATCAACCTAAAACTTACTATAGCCCCCAAACTTAGAAGTTTACATTTTAAAAAAATTTTTATCTCAAGATGTGCAAAAATAAAAAATTCCACATCATGTCTGCCTCTGGAATGGATTGCTTTCAATAATACTGCCTTGGAAATGCTCATTAAAATGAGTTCAACACATAAGCACTGTATCAAAAAGTTCACCCAACCCCTCAGGTAGGGGCCTGGTGTTAATATCTACAAAGAGACCCAGATGAAAGGGGTCCCTGTGGATTAAAAAGTCCATTGTTAAGAGGAGTGATCATTTTCCTCTGGACCTCTGCCCATCTCTAATCTGATTTATAATGCCTTCCAGAGGTCACCTTACTAGCCTAAGTCTGCAGCCAGATTGATGTATCTTGGAGTGGCGAAACTCAGATAAATTCTTTATCCTCCAGCCAAAAAGCTCTAGGGTCAATGGGCAATCGCTATTGGGTCAACGGACTGGGTTTCCTCTGAGGCATCCAACTGGCTGGCAGCCTGAAAGACGTTCTCCTTCCTAAAGTGAGCAAGGTCTTCTGTTGCTGCACAGCCAGGGTACAGCACTGAGCACGTGCACACCCACGGGAACCCTAATGCTTCCACCTGGGTCACTGCCTGGTACCCACCTCTGCTGTGCTACCCACAAAGAGAAGAAGCTGGAGGAGGGAGGTGGAGAGAGATGGAAGAGTGAGATGGTCTTAAATCTGATCGCTCAGAGAATCTCGATAATATCTTAAGATAAAGAAAACACACTGTTGCTTAATTTGCTTTTAAAATAAGTGGTAGATCACCACCCAGGAAAGATCCCTCTGACCTGGGACGTTGATTCCTCATATGCCAAAATCTTCATGTGACTTTTAAGGAAAGGGCTGAGGACTTCCAGCGAAGCGGTGAACTCTGTACATCTATTTCCAGCAACAGTAGACAGTGTGTGCCGCCTCCAGGCACTGGGCTAGGACCAGGAATCCGAGGACTCGTTCATTATAGTCACCTACTCTGCAGAGATTTAAAGAGAGCTCACAGTATGTCCACATTCAAATGGCATCTTTGACCAAAGAACATGACTCAGAGAATATCATCAGCTCTTGGAAGGTCACCTGGGAAGATTGTGTCAACAATTTAATATCCAAGGGTCTTGAGCTCCACGTTTCTTTTCCACCCATTGGCCCAAAATGACCTGTCAAACAGAGGCAGACGGTTCATCTTCTCATCGAAGCCCTCGCTGAATACCCTATGTAACACCACATTCTGTCCCTCTCCTGGCGTTCCTGCGCCCCTATACCTTCTGTGCTCTCTATCCATATCCTTAACATCTTCTAACTGCCTGCATAATTTGCTTATTTATCATGGCTACTGTTCATTATCTGTCTTCTCTCACTGGAATGTCGTCTCCATGAGGGCAGAACTCTTTGTCCTGTCCATTGCATCCCCAGTTCTTAGAACAGAAAAGCTGGCCCATAGTAGGCATCTTATAAATATTTGTTCAGTTGGAAACAAATGGGTGGGGTTTCCTAAGCTCAGGGTTCCTCAGCTGTGACACAAACCCCCTGAGTGCACAAGGTCCACCTAGCTGCTCTGCATCACCCATGGGCCTGGGGGCGCAGGGGGGGGCCGATGGGTACGTGACACTCATGGCGACTGCTGGGCCATGAGTAACATCTTGCTGAGTCTCTGCCAGCATCCATGGAACCCTGGAGGCCACAACCCGTTACCCTTCGAGTATGGTAAAACTCTGAGCCCCTCTGCTGCTCTTGACAGTAATTAGACCTGGCAGCACCAGCCCCTCCTCCACTCTCTGGCAGGACTAGTTACAGCTTAGACTTCTGGGTGTGATCCACTTACAGATTTTTACAGTCTGATGGGAATTTTTTTTCTTTCCTCTTCTCAATCTCTCACTTTTCAGAAAGAACGAGAAAAAACTTGGGAAAAGTCACTTTGAGCACATGGCAAGGGGTACATGTTTCATCTCCCAAGACAAGCTTGGCAAAGCCAGAAAGCTCATTGTGTCCCAGAAAATTCAAACCTGCTATAGGGAGAAAAGGCAATGTTTATCCTTTCTGGCATCGTGCCTCCCCAGAGAGGCTGTGCTGTGCCTCAAAGAGATAGCCCTTCCTCGGAGAAAAAAACAACTGGGATGTACAGTCATGTTTATGTCTGGGGAAGATACTGAGAAGGGTCCTCGAGGATAGCAGGGCCTGGGGCCAGACCACCACCTAGGTGGGTACCGGGTCTACCCAGGCATCATGATCAGAGGGAAGGTGGCATTTCCAACTGTGCTGTGTTCTGCTCTCAAAGAATTAATTCAGCTTTTGCCTCAATCTCTCACCTTCTGTGGTTTCTCTAAGGGCTCAGTGCCTCCCTAAATAGAGGGGACCTCCTCTTGCCACACTATGGAGAAATACGTTAGCAGTCTCTTTAAAAGACGCTTCCTGTTTCTAGATATGAAATTATAAGTATCTTATAAGGTGGTGACTTCTGAGCTGGGGAAAGTGATGGCTCTGGGTGCTGACCCTGCATCCAGCCCCCAGGTAGGAGGAAAATGAGGATCCTTGCCCTGAACAAGAGTACAATTCTCTGTTCAACCACTGTGCGCACACTCGGCACCACACACGTCAGACACACCCATACACCATGCCAACAACCTCCAGCATCTGTCTCCCCATCCAACGTGAGAGGTTGCTCTGCCATTGCCCAGGAAGGTGACATAATGACAGTCTCAAGAGATGCACTCTGCTGGGGCAAAGCCAAGGACAAGCCAAGTAAAGATGCATACATTTGAACCGATTGAATTTCAAGGAACTGTTAGCCCAATGCTGTACCTATTCCTCTGATGGCTTAGCCACCTGACAAGAGAACATTCCTGTCCCACTGAAACTACTTATCTTCCCTTTTAAACTCTTTCATGATCTTCAGTTTAGTGGATCTTAGTGAATGACATTCAGCCCACCTTTGAGGAAAGAGTTAATCCTCACTATCAAGGTGCCTTTCTTTCCTTTAGGAGGAGTAGGAGTCTTTTGCATCAAGCCAAGTGTAATGAAGATGCTTCCAACAAGGGCTCCCAGAGCCCCTAGAAGGGGACATTCTTATGGCTCTGATCCAACTAGAAAACCCTCCAGAGTCCATCCATTTCAAAGACTGTTCTCAAGATGTGCTTGTCTGCTGGCCTGCCTCTTTTGCCTGTTCTGCCCACTATGGAAAATTGTGTTTGTTTAATTATGTCGAATCATAGGAGGACTTGGCGTCAGCAAGGCACGTGGTGTAACAGCAAGAACACTGCATTGACAGGCTTGGCTCTGACACTGACCCTTCTGGGAACTCACCAGGAGATCGCGTGCTTGGCCATCTGGTAGACCTGATTGGACCAGAAGATCCCTAAAATCCTTAAGTTTCAACAAGGAGATGATCCTTCCTGGTGTCAACCTCACTGGGTAAATATCTGAGCTCCTCAGAAGTGTGTGTGAGGGGTGAGGGCTGCATCTCATTCACTTTTTTGTACCCTTTTTTAGGCATCAGTGAAAAGTGGTCAATGTTTTTAAATGGTGCTTATGAAGTGAATGTAGGTGT